ATAATCGAGCGTAACTGACGCTGATCCATTTTGACACTTAGCTAATTGCTCAGTAGCGCAAGAACCCTTCTGTACCCTACAAGTTGATGTTGCGAAACCACTCTAACGCATGCCAACATATTTCGCAATGAAGATGCCCCTAACAGGAAAAATTTAGATTCGAACAAAATTCAGACAGGACTTATGGGACAACCCAATATATAAATAATAAGTTAGGATTAATAACTAAGAACTTAAACACTTACCAGAGCGCTTGAAAATCGTAGCGTGAACGAATTCAAGTCCCACTACGATTTTGAGCTGCAGTGGACTGTGTGGCGCATCCCAGAATGGGCGCTGACTGTTAATTCATGCTCGTTTATATTCGTGCCAGCTCACCACATCGCATACTTGTCAGAGACAGCTCAAGCTTATTATGATAAGCCTTAAATGGAGTCCAGGAGAATGTACCCCCTGTTTCAGAAAATCAGGCACGTCGAGTGCAGACCACACACCACAAGTGACGACGGCCTCCACAAAATGTAAATGTTTTCTGCCAATGAAATGATTAGCCTGTTGCAGTTGTATTCTATCAGTTGTCACTAATTACAACTATCATTTACCAACTATCAGCTCACTATGAATCACTAGTAACCAGATTTACTTGGAGGCTGTCGTCACTTGTGGTGTGTGGTCTGCACTCGACGCGCTTCTGCTTTTATAAAACAGAGGATAAAGCAAGCCAACTATAAATTATCCTTATTCATATCAAAACTCAGTCCTTTCTCTGCAAGATGCAGCTCATATTTGCATTTTCACATTTTATCCCTGACTGTCTTAGGGGTCACCTCAAGAGCAATAGTGAATAAATAACTAAATAAACAAAAATATATTTGGGCAGCTATGTGTATAACTCCACAGTTAAATGAATAGCAGTGCTTACAGTGAGCATTTTTCAAGTTATCACGTCTTGTTTTCTTCCCGATTTGAAGAAATCCTTCCCGGAAAAATCATGATTCTATTCACCCATAATCACTGGCTTGAGACCCATCGTTCACGATAAGAACGAAAAGAACAAAAATTGCATTTGTTTTGGTAAAAATTCGAAAAACCGAAGGGCTGCTACGCGTTCAAAGTACCGCCGGACATCTGTCACAAATGCTGGCGACGGGAATGCTTCCACTTGGTTCTTGAGTGCCGTCACTAGAAACTCTTTCTGGCCTTTTGACTTATTGCATTCAACATCTCACACTTCTACTGCATCCTATTCTATCGATCGATTTGTCTCTACTCTCCAAAATCGCACGCTTTAACCCGATTCTTTCATTGCGTCGCCTGATACGTAGCCGCCCCAGGCGGACTTCTTTCCATGCCCCGCCTTTGGCTCCGCGCCACTTACCTTCGATTGTCCATAGAGTGTGGTTTTTGTAGTTTGTTTCTCTTCGGAAACTGAATCTTCGTGCGTGAAACTTTGTGTGTTGTCTCTAGTGATCACAACTGACATATTCATGTTGGGTAAGAACGGTAGAATTTTTCGTGAAGGATTCCTTCAAAAACTTACTCATTTGAGAGCGCGCCAAGTCCTTCTTTACTAGAAGCCCAATCATGCGCAGTGAGCTATTCGTCCGCATGTGTTTTTTTTTCATTTTGGCTCATCGAATAAGCCTAGCAACGTGCGAGCCAATTGTGAGCAACTGACAAGTGTTCCTTGAGTACTCTATCGGAGAGTAATGACGTAACGGAGGGCCTGTAAGAGTGCATCCATTTCCCATTTTGGAAAACCAGACTTTGGTCCGTACCTAACCTCTGTAAATATCGATGAACGCCATCTTTTTGTTCAGTAGTAAGTTTTCAGGTGGCACCCCTTGTTCCCGATCAACTGTCCCACCGCACTCATTTCGAGCTTTTTGGAATTCCAAATTCCATGGAACAGTATATAACGTCGATTCGCATATAAAGGTCAAGTTGGCTAAGGGGTCAAGGGGGTAGGACATGACCTGCTAGCAAAAAATGGTAGATAGAGAATGAAACGAGGCAGAGGTCTTTATTCGTGTGAGTATGAGTGTGGATCTCAACGAAGACGGTATGCAGTGATAGTCTGCTTCTTGCTAGCGCAGTCTCTTAAATGCATGTCTTCGAGAGGATAAAACCTCACGCGGTCATGCTTTCAATTACTTCTGTAAAGGCGCAACCCGGGTAGAGGTTGTGTGAACGCTTCCCTTCGGTCTGTAGTATAGAATTAGAAGAGCAATCACAAATGTGGCGTTCCCGTGCACGGAAACCAACCGACAAGAGCGCTTGGGCCTTGCAAAGTAAGCTGCTGAAGCTGCAGATTTTTTCTCTTATCAGGCTGTTGTCTGGCGCTCTCTCATCTGTAGCGCTCTCTCCTCATACTCTCCTCTCCGCGCTTAGTCTCTCATTCCCTTAGCACAGCCGATTAGGAAGGTGAGTGAGCCCTCAACCTGAGCGTTTTCGACGGATTCTTTTCCTTTTTTCTTTACTGCCGGCCCACTTCGCACCAATACATTCGCATTCGTGTGCAAGAGCCACACCAGTGTGATCCTGGGGCATGCCTTTTATACGTTGGAGACCGCGCATGTTTCACTTTTTGCGGCTGCGCGAAAGTTCAATGGTTTTTTTTTGGGAATTCATTCAAGCAAAATGGGAACGCAAATCTAGTGAACAATTTAGAAGAAATCTTTTCGAATGGAATGGAAAGAAAAGTGAAAAAGAAAACGAATACTTGTTTACAAAATATGGGTTGTGAGGTCCCATTCGGTTGACAGCCTACAGCCATATATGGGCTGCATGGGCTCCAAGTTGTAAAGTAAGATAATTCCTAATTTTCACTGTCTTTGTAATCGTTCTTTCTTTTGGATATTTATATTGCGTTGTAAAGGTCGGCAGATGAAGAATTTATTTTGAGACCCTCTAAATGAAGACAAATGTGTCTAAATGTAGCGGTACTCCAAGGTGGTGTGGGTGGTACCCTTACGGTTGTAGGTCATAACTGGAACAAGGTTGGACGTTGAGTTAAGGATCGTATCCTTGTCGTCTTCCGAGCAGAACCTAGAATACTTTTTTAATTCTTCACGTATTCGCTTGTAGGCATTTTTTTCTTTATTATAAACTTGCCTGTAGCCAGTGAGACGCTGATCTGGATGTGTTTTGATTTCAACGCCAGCGTAGATGCATCCATCGGTGGCAACACCTTTGGAGAAACTGACAAGTTTCACCTGCACTTTCTTGCCGGCCGGAGCCTTAAGAATCAATGGCTCAATAGACGTTATTTTCATTTAGAAATAGAGAACGAACCTTGATCCAATAGTTACATTTCATGAAGTCTTCGCGAGGTGAATCATCTGCTTCACCAAGTTGGTCTTTAAGTTGCTGCCACTTGCCGGTTGCAACCAATTCTTCACCGCATCCCTCCGGCTAAATCGGACTTTGTAAAATTTCAATAGTTTGTATACGATGATGGAAAATTCGTCTCATTTGGCCTACGCAATATTTTCGCAAAAGGCGCCAGGATCAGCACATTTTCCACACGGACAGGCCTGGTACCTAATGCCTAATCCAGTGATGTGTGGTGTTTTAAGAGCGTGCTCGCATTTTGCTCTAGAGGACAAACATGTGACGACGGTTACTCTGCCTCTCAAAGCATCTCCTCTTGTTGATATTTTATAAGTCGGAAACTTACTCTTCTGTCACATTGCGGGCCACCGTATCCACCAGGGCAGATGCACTTGTTGCAATCACGAGGATTAGGGAATCCATGATTTTTACAAGACGACGGCTTATTTTTGCATACGTCTACAAGGTAGCTAATATAAATTTCTGTGTACTAACTCTTAACGAATTGCCTACCTGTGCAATTGTAGTGCTTGTTGATCATTAGCAAATCATAGTAGCCAATAAAAGGTGAACCGAGTGTTTCGGTGTAAAGAACGTCTTTTGGCACCATAGTCGGCTTGCCATTCATTGCAGCACTATAATAAGATGACACATATCTTTACCTCCCTAACTTATTTTTCTTTGTTATTCTACCTGGTAGCTCCGTAATGCATAATGCTACCCCAGTCATACGTTAGGTCGTAGTTGTAATTGTTTTCTATTGTCTTCAAGACGAACTGGTCTGCCCATTCTCGCTAAAATGGAAAAAATAACGACTGCAAAAATTTTATGACATCCAAAAACAAACCTTGATGTTAGCGACGTCGACCGTAATGAATTCGTCACGGTCATATCGAGAGTGCGTGTGGTAAAATCCGAGAGCATGGCCAATTTCGTGAGCAGCAGTTCCGACCTAAATCGCACAAAATTACGGTCACTTTGACCAGAGGGACCAATACCTCATCCCGTTTAGCACCTTTACGCCACTCGTTTAAAAAATGGGAAACACTGACAGACTTTTCCTAGCCTTGTATAAGCTCAGCGCTATATAATTGCGTTTGAACAAGGCGTTGGTCAGAGCTTTCAAAAATCTTTCAGACTCTCTCCGAGCTTTTAGTAGAGGCATTGCTCAACACGGAGCTTTCTGAACCTTACCGTTTCGCAGCCTGGACCAAGTGAAAGGCTCTGAGTAGCACCAATTCTGCCGAAGAACGAGAAACACCCTTCCCCTTTGTACACACGTACCGTGTCTCTTGCTGAAATTGATCTAATATCCTCTGTTCTCTGCTCTTGTTATCTTATTGTTTCTTACCATATTTCTCTTCTCTGAGGTCGATGCATGTGTTGTTCATCCACAGCTCCGCCGCCTTCTTTGAAGACACTTTTTATTTCTGGGGCTAAACACGGCTGTTCATGTCTTGCTATCTCGACGTGGTCAATGATTGCTCCTATTTATGAGACTGACTTGAAAATTTACTGTCGAAGAAGTAGTTGACTCCTTGATGCCATCTTTTGCCAGGGTACTCTGTTTCTTTCATGGCCTGTCGCTTGGAGCGGGTACCGTCGCTGATTTCGGCAATAATTTGGTCCTCTTGATCTCTGAATTTTTCATCTTTCAAGTCCGATAAGCAACGCCTCAGACAGCACTTTTCCGGAGAGCGCAGTCTTTGGATCACCCTACTGAAGAAAGCGAATTATTAAGGGACTAAGATTAAGGGACTAGTGTTGCACAGCTCCTGACAATTACAGTCCACTTGCTTCTATTTCATAACAGCAAAAGAGCAAGTGAAATCTTTAAAAAACCAACTTTGAAAGGATCATATCTCCTTGGAAAAGAGCACCGGCTATTTTGCTGTTTCTATTGATCTCCTCAATTGAGTCTCCCATTGGTTGCACTTTGTCAATGGATTTTCTTTTGAAAAGCTGAATAGTTGAAGATTACCATTGAAAATGATAATCTAATCGAACTCAAAAACCTTAAGTCTTTCTAGGAGTGCCACTCTTTGCTCCTTTGTCAACGCGAGCTCTCAATTAGTTGAGTCCTGAATCCGCTCATCTCTTCTGAAGCAGCCATATCGTTTTTTGAAGAGCTAGAAAAATTGAAGTTTCAATCTATGTATGGTTGCACAGTCAGATGTAGAATCACCTCCTTAATGCGATTCAGCAGCCTGCTCTATCTTGTCGATTACCTTCTCTTTAATAATGCCCTTGACGGTCCCAGCAGAACTTTTGAGGTCGAGCAGACCTGCATTCACGCAAATAGCGAGAGCAAGGGTAAGGAGAACGAGAGCTCTCATCCTGAAATGGTGATGCAGAATTAGAGAACTCAGTTTGGAGCCAGGGTTTGCTTTCAAGCAATGAAGTTAGTGAAAACTGTGGTTGGCTCGCTTGCACCGCTTTTATACTGTAACCTTTGACGTTGGACGTTGACACAAAGGGAATGTATTTGATGTTGGGACGTAATACTTAACAGTGATTCCAGCTGTAATCCCGCGCTCGTCATACCAGAAAGCAAACGGAATGCTGTTCAGATGGAATTCTCCGGTTGGCTCTGAATGAGCTGCGTTATTGATTCTGCAAATGAAGAATAGTGGGGGGTCCGACCTTCTGTCGCAGAGCTGAAGCTAACGATGTTGTCGCAACAGTATTTTCTTTCTGAATAAGAACCTTGGTGTAGACCCATTTTGTAGAATCATCTCTGACGCATTCCACTCCATTTTCATGACTATTAGGTGCCGAAATGGAGCTGCGAGGTTAGTGTAGTTCTGCTGATCGGTCCACTGGCAATGATGAAAGAGGGCTAAATAATTTCTATGTAGGACTTTTTTTCCGCAGCTTATTCGAGATGAGCGCGTCACATGAATTTGATGGGGATGAATTTGGCGAGATCACCACAATCTTTTCCTATTACATGCCTGCCATTCGGTACATATCTAACATAAAGATTCAGTAGCAGTCACCTTTGTAGAACCA